CAGTAAAACTAGATTCTAGATAAAAACTACCTCATTCCCTCTTCCAAAAAAGTAAGCAGAGGTCAAGGGAGTATGTTCAGGAAGGGGGAGGGTTAAACAAAGGTCTGATGTAAATAGCAATGCTGCTGAAAAACTTACTTTTGGGCCAGTGGTGAAATGGGAATAGCTAGTCCTGGGATGCTCAACTGAGCTTGGATCCTTGAGAAGTGTGCTAAAGTATTCCAGATCTGAAGTGACCCTTCACTATTGGCAGAAACAAAAAAAAAGAAGGAAGCTAATTCCCTCTAGAGCAGCGGTTGCCAACCTTTCAGACCTCGCGTACCACCAGTGGTCCGCGGACCAACGGTTGGCGACTGCTGCTCCAAAGGTTTCCTTAAACCAGCTGTGGCCAACCTTTCAGACTTCACGGACCACCAGTGGTCTGCAGACCACTGGTTGGCAACAGCTGCTCTAGAGGGAAGCTTCTCCAATTTAGTCCCACTAAATTCCCATAGATTGAAAGAAAACAATGCACTTACAATTAAAAATTAACAAATACATGGGAAGGCAAGCACCATGAGAGTCAGCAGAAACAATAAACAACAGATTTAAACCTGCAAGGACCACAAATATTAGAAGAGTCAGATTAAAAAGACAGAAGAACTATACATTAAGTGTTTAAAGAAATAAAAGGCACAATCATAAGAATGTACAAATATTATTTAAAAGAGACAGATTTAGGGGAAAAAGGAAACTTATAAAAATGAAAATAGTTTTTGAAATAAAGAACTCAATGAATAAGTTAAATAGCAGATTAGAGTCAGCTAGAAAGAGAACTAGTGACTTGGAAGGCATATATCTGAAGAAACTGCCCAGAATATTATGAGAGACAAGATTAAAAAAAAATATGACAAAGAAGCTAAGAGATATGGAAAATAAAAGGTCTAACATACTTGTAATTATAGAATCCCAGAACAAACAAATAGAGCGAAAGAGAGGTACTTTTGAAGGGATAATGACTGTTAAATTTCTACAAATGAACACAAATCTGCATGTCTAAGAAGTATAATATATCTAGGTTAAATAAAAAGAATGCATGTTGCCCAGCCAGTGTGGCTCCGTGGTTGGTTGAGTGTTGACCTATGAATCAGGAGGTCCTGGTTTGATTACTGGTCAGGGCACATGCTAGGTATGGGCTTGATTCCCCAGTAGGGGGCAGCCGATTAATGATTTTCTCTCATCATTGATGTTTCTATCTCTCCCTTCCTCTCTGAAATCAATAAAAATATATTTAAAAAGAGAAAAAAGAAATACATGTTGTAGTAGCCAGTCTACAAAATAGCCTTCAATGATCTTCACCTCTTGGTATTTATAACCTATATGTAGTTGTCTCTCAAACTGTACCAGGGCTGGTCTGTGTGCCCGACAGAATATGACAGAAGTGATGGTATGTCACTTCTGAGATTAGGTTATAAAAGAGACTGTGTAGCTTCATCTTGGTGGTTCTCCCTTGGATCACTTGTTCTGGAGAAAGGCAGTTGCCATGTCATGAGCAGCCCTAAGGAGAGGCTCATGTGATGAACAACGGAGGCCTCCTACCAGTAATCCTGGGAGTGAGCCATTTTGAGTAGCTCTTTAAGCCCTGGTCAAACTTTCAGATGACTACAGCCACAGCGAATAGCTTGACTGAAACCTCTTAAGAGACTGTGAGCCAGAATCATCCAGATAAGCAGCTCCCAGATTCCTGACTCTCAGAAAAATTGTGTGAGATAACAATACTTAAGCTGCTAAATTTTGGGGTAACTTTTTATACAGGGATAGATAACTACTACACATGCTAAGACCAAATAGTTTTGAATGGCTTACAAAAGACCTTCTCCATCTGGTCCAGACTGGCTCTCCAGCTTCACTTCAAACACACCAAACTTCTTTTAGTTTCTACAATGCATCCTGTTCTCTCCCACCTTCAGCCCTGTGTGCAACTCGCATGTACAGCCCCTGCCTGACACATTCTGCAACATCTTCTCTTCTACTCTCAATATATATACTCCTTAAGCTAACTTCTCCCGATCATTAGAGCAAACATCACATTGTCTGACAGTCTTGTTAAATTGGCTGTCCTTCCATTAGACTGCAGGCTTCAAAGTGGCATGGACAATATCGGTCTCCATTATTATGCCAACACAGTTCCTAGCACAAAGAAAGCACTCAGTAAATATTCGTCTCTTATAGCCCACAGGATAAGGACAGGCAGGAGGCTAAAGATGGAAGAATGTAAACATGCTCAGGCAATGATCCAAATGAATCTTCAACTTAGCAACTGTTGCAACTACAAAAAAATCAAGAAACCCCTATATTCTATTCAACCTCATTTTTAGGGAAGGCTTGGGTAGGGTCAAGACTCAAAACTTGGATGGTTTCCAGCTCCTCTCAAGTCAAGCCCCTTTTGTGGTGTCATTATGATCTTCAAATTGAAAGCTCTGATCAGACACACCCATTATTGAAAGCATACTCACAATTTACTCAAAGAAGTAATAGAAAGGATTTTTAAAAAATTATCATGTTCTATATTTGTAGGACAATTCCAGCCTATTATGTTGATATTTAAGCTCTGATCATAAACGGTAACTGTGGCATGTGCCTAAATATGAACATATATATACATATATGTAAATATATACAGGTCATAAAATATTAATCACTAGTACCCTCTACTGGTGGAAATACCTTATCTGCTCATATGAATGGTCTTATTGCCCTCTAGTGACCACAACCTATAAAGAGAAAATCCACCAGCAGATGGGAGCATTTCCTTGGCTATAATGATAGGGTTTTATGTTCTTTAAGCATCTAATTTTCTCAGATTCTGGTTTATATTACAGGGGTGCAACTCTCAAGACTCTTGGGGGGCTCTCTGGGGGATTTCACACAGCTCCTGCCAGCTGTTAGCGCCAGTGTGAAGCTACTCTCTCTCCTGCCTCTCATGAACAAGAGGTCAAGGGGAGGCAGAGAAGGCAATGGCTGCACTAGTGAGGGCAACAACAGCAGCTGTGAATGACTACCCTGGACTCCCTGGGGAGTTAGGAGCAGCTTGAGGAACACATGTTGGTCCTCCCTTGCAGATTATTCACAGTTGTGTACTATACTAAAATAGCAATTCAATGTGGTCCCTGATTTATCTTTTAAATATCTCTAATGCCATAACAAATGCTGTAGCAGCAAAGGATGCTATCATTTTGTTTTTATAAACCATGCTTTGCAAGTTATTTCTACTCAAGACAGAAAAGCCAAGTCTCTTTCAAGATTGAACTGAAATGTCACTTCTTCTATGAAGTCCTTTCTAACTCCCCAGGTGCAAATGACTACTCTGTTCTTTATGCCAGCATATACCGTGTATAAATCAGAATGGTACCACAAATATAATTTCTATTGTTTTTATTTATAACCTATAATTTCTTACTGTTCACATTTGTCTACATGCTTATTTCTCCACCAAACCGTAAGTTCCTTGAGATCATGAATCATGTCTTACTCATTTTTGCACACCCAGCATCAAACTCACTCAAAATGTCATCCATAGATCACTGCCAGTTACTAGTCCAGGCAATAAACTCAGAAACTGAAGCATTTAGAAAATTTATAGCAATTTACAAAGTAATTCTACATCTGTTGAATCCTATCTAATAAAAGAGAAACATGGTAATTGGCGTACGACTGCTACCCTTCCCATTGGCTAATCAGGGCGATATGCAAATTAACTGCCAGCCAAGATGGCGGCCGGCAGCCAGGCAGCTTAAACTGAACATGAGGCTTGCTTGCTTCAGTGACGGAGGACTCCAACGTTCCCCGCCTGCCTTGCTGGCCTCTGAGCCTGCAGTTTGAACATTGTAACAAATATAGAAGCTAAACAAAACCCCAGAAACCTGCTTTCAGCCAGGGATCTCAGAGCTGGAGTTGATACAGAGTTTCAATTATAGAACCGAAACAAACCAGATACCTACTTTCAGCAGCTGAGGCCTCAGAGCTGGAGCCAAGCCTCAGAGTTAAAGCTGGCCCAGAATAAAAAAAAAAAAGAAAGAAAAAAGGAGCGGTTGGGAGCTTCAGTCCCAGCCTGAAAACAGCCCTCAGCCCCTCACCCAGACTGGCCAGGCACCCCAGTGGGGACCCCCAGCCTGAAGGGTGTGTGACCAGCTGCAAACAGCCATCATCCCCTCATCCAGGCTGGCCAGGCACCCCAGTGGGGACCCCCACCCTGATCCAGGACACCCTTCAGGGCAAACCAGCCAGCCCCCACCCATGCACCAGGCCTCTATTCTATATAGTAAAAGGGTAATATGCCTCCCAGCACTGGGATCAGCAGAGCCGCGAGGCCTCCCGGCACTGGGATCAGCGTGACAGGGGGCAGCGCCCTAACCCCCTGATCGCTCTGCGGCTGTGTGTGTGACAGGGGGCAGGTCCACAACCTCCCTATCGGCCCTGCTCTGTTCCTGACAGGGGAAAGCACCCCAACCTCCCTATCGGCCCTGCTCTGTTCCTGACAGGGGAAAGCACCCCAATTCCCCAATCGGCCCTGCTCTGAGCCCGACCAGGGGCTGCACCTAGGGATTGGGCCTGCCCTTTGCCACCCAGGAGCAGGCCTAAGCCAGCAGGTCGTTATCTCCTGAGGGGTCCCAGACTGTGAGAGGGCACAGGCCGGGCTGAGGGACCCCCCCTCCCCCCCAAGTGGGACCCCCCTCCCCCCCAAGTGCACAAATTTTTGTGCACCAGGCCTCTAGTCTAATAATAAAAAGGTAGGGCTTGTATTTTGTATATTTTAATTTTATTTTTCTGGTAATTTTTATCATATATTATGAAAGTACTGGTTTGCAATCAATGGAAACTTTTTAAAACAACAGTCCCTTACCATGGATAGTTTGAGAAGCACTGATATGATAGGTAATTTAATGTGTGAGAGAGGGAGGAAAGGAAGAAGGAAAGAGACAAAATATAAGTACTCTGCATAACATTCAGGAGAAACATACCTATCCTTGTTGATTTTAACACTTCCTTGGAGGGTATTTTCTTCTTTAATTCTCGTAAGGCTTCAACTAGATTCTCTTTGGTTTGATTAGGAAGCTCCAACATAGTTTTCCATCTTTTTATGTCTTCTACAACCACAACTCTCTGGGAAAAAGAAACGTCATTTGGAAAATGGAACATTTTCATTATAAAGACATCTGCCTTCACCTGAGCTAATGGGGCTCCTATTGACATATGAATTATTGATTATGACCTGAACCAAAGCACAGTGTGTGTGAAGCCCCAAATGATGGGTAATTGCTTAAAAGCAGGTCCTGCTTACTGCAAATCAGGAAGAGAGTTACATCTATTAGGAAAAGTGCAAGTTTTAATCTTACCATGTCAGACACCACTGGGCACTTAGCAGTGAGAAGCAATAAGGATGAGAAGAAAAGAAAAACGATGCTGAGGTGAATCAACCCTATAGCTTACTTAAGTGCTTTAATTCATAGATGAGGACAGAGAACAGAAAAGTCATAAAGACATATTTATTTCAACAATAAAAGCGCACTTCAACAGCTCCCTGCTTCCTAGATAAAGAACTAAAACGGTCTTGTTTGTGCCCTAACTGGTTTGGCTCAATGGATAGAGCATCGGCCTGCGGACTGAAGGGTCCCAGGTTCGATTCTGGTCAAAGGCATGTACCTTGGTTGTGGGTACATCCCCAGTGGGGGTTGTGCAGAAGGCAGCTGATTGATGTTTCTCTCTCATCGATGTTTCTAACTCTCTATCCCTCTCCCTTCCTCTCTGTAAAAAATCAATAAAATATACTAAAAAAATAAATAAAAGTCTCGTTTGAAGAATTTTTTAAAACTCTAAACACATAGAAAGGTAGAGTAATTCACTATTTATAATAAAAAAGTTAAGCCCTAGCCGGTCTCGCTCAGTGGATAGAGTGCCAGGCTGTGGACTGAAGGGTCCCAGGTTCGGTTTGGGTCAAGGACAAATGCCTGGGTAGGCTCAATCCCCAGTAGAGGGGGTGCAGGAGGCAGCCAATCAATAATTCTCTCTCATCATTGATGTTTCTCTCTCCCCCTTTCCCTTCCTCTCTGAAATCAATAAAAAAAAATATTTTTTTAAAGTTAACATTTTGCCATTTTTTTATAAATAAAACATCACCATTTTTCATTAAGTATAAAATTTTAACAATTAAGGAATCTGGGTGAAGGGATAGGAAAGTCCTTTGTTCTGTTGCAACTTTTCTGTAGTTGTGAAATTATTTCAACTAAAGAATTTTTTTTAAAGTAAACAAAGATAAAATAATAAAGTTGTTTTTATAATTAAAAAATCTTGCCCAGCTGGTGTGGCTCAGTGGTTGGCCATTGACATATGAATCAGGAAGTCCAGTTCAATTCTAAGTCAGGGCACATGCCTGGGTTGCAGGCTTGATCCCCAGTAGGAGGCATGCAGGAGGCAGCCAGCCAGATGATGATTCTCTCTCATCATTGATGTTTCTCTCTCTCTCTCTCTCTCTCTCTCTCTTTCTCTCCATCTCCCTTCCTCTTTGAAATCAATAAAAATTTTTAAAAATTTTGTCTTGACGGTTATTACCCTGGTGAGGGGGCCCAGTTAAGGAATGGAAGAGGGTATTGAGGGCTCTGGCATTCTGGTAATGTTCTGTTTCTTGATCTGGATACTGGTGACATAGGTGTGTTCACTTTGTGAAAATCTGCCAAGAGGTACACTCATGATTTGTCCACTTTTTTATAGGCATGTCATCCTATACAATAAAAGGCTAATATGCAAATCAACCAAATGACAGGACAACCACTCACTATGATGCGCACTGACCACCAGGAGGCAGACGCTCAACACAGGAGCTGCCCCCTGGTGGTCAGTGCGCTCCCATAGGAGGAGCGCCACTCAGCCAGAAGCCGGGCTCATGACTGGCGAGTGCAGCTGCAGTGGCAGGAGCCTCTCCTGCCTCCACAGCAGCACTAAGGATGTCTGCCAGCTTGGGCTTGCTCCCGCGAGAAACGGGCCTAAGCCATCAGTCGGACATCCCCCGAAAGCTCCTGGACTACAAAAGGGCATAGGCAGGGCTGAGGGACACCCCCACCCCAGTGCACGAATTTCACGCATTGGGCCTCTAGTAGTTCAATAAAAAGCAACAACAGCCCAGCTGCTGTGGCTCAGTGGTTGAGGGTCCACCTATGATCCAGGAGGTCACGGCTGGATTCCAGTCAGGGCACATGCCTGGGTTGTGGGCTCAATCTCCAGTAGGGGGCATGTGGGAGGAAGCCAATCAATGATTCTCATCATTGATGTTTCTCTCTCCCCCTCTCCCTCTCTGAAATCAACTTAAAGTATATGTGTATATATAAATATATAAAAGCAACAACAGCAAAAAAAGTCTCAACTTCCTCCCCTGGTTGGGGTCTGCTTCCAGCCTAGCCGGCAGTGGTGGGAGGAGGACATGTCTGACTCTTCTACTTTCCCATCTTTGTTCCTCCTATCCTATCTGCTTCTTTACTTTGGTCTCTAACCCTTCCAAGTTTGAAGCTAGGAAAAGGAGAGGCAAGGGAAGAAAAAGCCTTACTTTCTGTTGTGATGCCAATCAGGTTTTAGTGTTCTGAAATAGTCTCAATAGGAAGAAGGTATAAATATCATATCATTCCACACCTTGCTTTTTCACTCAATATGTTTTCTTTATTTATTCATACTGATCCTATCTAATAAAAGAGAAACATGGTAATTAGCGTACATCCGCTACCTTTCCCATTGGCTAATCAGCGAGATATGCAAATTAACTGCCAGCCAAGATGGCGGCCGGCAGCCAGGCAGCTTGAAACTAACATGAGGCTTGTTTGCTTCAGTGACGGAGGAAACCAACATTCCCCGCCTGCCTTGCCGGCCTCTGAGCTTGCAGTTTGAGACATTGTTACAAATATAGAAGCTAAACAAAACCCCAGAAACCTGCTTTCGGCCCGCCAGGATCTCAGAGCTGGAGTTGATACAGAGTTTCGATTATAGAACCCAAACAAACCAGATACCTGTTTTCAGCAGCAGAGGCCTCAGAGCTGGAGCCAGAGCTAAAGCTGACCCAGAATAAAAAAGAAAAAGAAAAAAAGGAGCAGTTGGGAGCTTCCGTCACCTGCCAGCCTGAAAACAGCCCTAAGCCCCTCACCCAGACTGGCCAGGCACCCCAGTGGGGACCCCCACCCTGAAGGGTGTGTGACCAGCTGCAAACAGCCATCATCCCCTCACCCAGGCTGGCCAGGCACCCCAGTGGGGACCCCCCACCCTGATCCAGGACACCCTTCAGGGCAAACCAGCCGGCCCCCACCCGAGCACCAGGCCTCTATCCTATATAGTAAAAGGGTAATATGCCTCCCAGTACCGGGATCAGCAGAGCCATGAGGCCTCCCAGCACTGGGATCAGCGGAGCTGAGAGGCCTCCCAGCACCGGGATCAGTGTGACAGGGGGCAGCGCCCAAACCCCCTGATCACCCTGCGGCTCTATGTGTGACGGGGGCAGGGCCACAACCTCCCTATCTGCCCTGCTGTTCGTGACAGGGGAAAGCGCCCCAACCCCCTGATCTCCCTGTGGCTCTGTGTGTGACAGGGTGCGGCGCGCCACCCCCCACCCCCCACGGGCCCTGCTCTGTGTGTGACGGGGTAGAGCCATAACCTCCCCATTGGCCCTGCCCTGAGTGTGAGAGTGGCGGCGCCCCAACCCCCTGATCGGCATAGCTCTGTGGGTGATAGAGGGCGGCGCCCCAACCCCCCTCCACGGGCCCTGCTCTGTGTGTGATGGGGTAAAGCCATAACCTCCCCATCGGTCCTGCCCTGAGTGTGACAGTGGCGGCGCCCCAACCCCCTGATTCGCCCTGCTCTGTGTGTGACAGGGGGGAGCTCCCCAACCCCCTGATGGGCCCTGCTCTGTGCATGACAGGGGGTGGCGCCGCAACCTCCCCATCGACCCTGCCTTGAGTGTGACAGGGGGCGGTGCCCCAATCCCCCAATCGGCCCTACCCTGAGTGTGACTGAGGGTGGCATCGCAACCTCCCAATCTGCCCTGCTCTGTGCATGACAGGGGGCGGCGCCCCAACTCCCCAATTGGCCCTGCTCTGAGCCCAACCAGGGGCTGCACCTAGGGATTGGGCCTGCCCTCTGCCACCCGGGAGCAGGCCTAAGCCAGCAGGTCGTTATCTCCCGAGGGGTTCCAGACTGCGAGAGGGCACAGGCCGGGCTGAGGGACTCCCCTCCCCGCCCCCCCCAGTGCACAAATTTTTGTGCACCGGGCCTCTAGTATATATATAAAGCCAGATAATATACTTTAATAGTATTGGAGAGTATTCCATTATTTTTATATACAAATGTCCTAAAAGTTGTAAAATCTATTCCCCTAATTAATATTCAGGATTGCAGATAGTGTGATTTAAGCTATATGTGTGTGTGTGTGCATGTGTGTGTATATATATATATATATATATATATATATACATATATATATATATATATAAATATATATATATATATGTATATATATATATATATATTGTTATAATTCAGGATTGCAGATAGTGTGATTTAAGCTATATGTATATATATATCCTATATAATAAAAGCCCTAAGGGTATAACAACTGTAACGACCACCAGGGGCCAGCCACTCAACCCAGGAGTGGGGGCGGGTCGCACAGTGAGTCCTGGAGGTGCATGCTATGGCCCAGGGATCCCAGGAACTGCAAGCCCAAAGCTTGCTTTCCAATTTAAAAAAAAAAAATTGAAAAAAAAACCCAAACAAACGGCTGACGCTGCCACCCTGGAAAGAACGGCTCCAGGAGGGAAAGGCCTCCCCAGGCCCCCCAGGCCCCACCTGGCCTGGCTGACCCACCATGGGCTCACAGGGACTCAGGCAAGCGGCGGATGGCGGCTACTCCTGCTGCGAGGGCCGGGCCGAGGTTCAGGCAGCTGCAGTGGCTGCGAGGGCCAAGGCTCAGGCAGCTGTGGCGGCTGGCAGTAGCAGCAGCAGCGGCGGCATGATGGGGGTGTCGCCTTTCCTGATCGGCTGGTCGCCTCTCACAGAGGGAGGCCCGACTGCGGCTTAGGCCTGCTCCCCCCCCCGCCCCCCCGGCCAATAGGACATTCCCTCAGGGTTTC